CTGCAACATGAGATCTGGGCAGGAGCACAGATCCAAACTGTATAATGGAACAATTACAAAAGTCACAGAAGCTGCATTTATGACCTGAAAGCATCTAGCCAAAAACAGAGGTCAAGAGTTTGAGAACAGCCTGGCCAACACGATGAAACCCTGTCTCTACTAAAAATACAAAATTAGCCGGGCATGGTGGCACATGCCTGTAATCCCAGCTACTTGGGAGGCTGAGGCAGGAGAATAGCTCGAACCTGGGAGGCAGAAGCTACAGTGAGCCAAGATCATGGCATTGAACTCCAGCCTGTGAAACTCGGTCTCAAAAGAAAAAAAAAGGGGGAAATTGCAATAGAGAAAGTTTAATTCATACAGGGCCATCTGGATAGGAGACTGGAGTTTTATTATTACTAAAATTAGAGAATTTGGGGATCAAGGTTGTTAAGGCTAATTTGGCGGGTAGGGGCTTGGGAAGTGGGGAGTACTGGTTGGTGGAGTTGGAGATGAAATCATAGGGGTCAAAGTGAGTTTTCCTGCTGTCTTCTGTTCCTGGGTGGGAGGAAGGAACTGGTTGAGCCAGATTGCTGGTCTGGGTGGTGTCAGCTGTACATCAGAACTCAGGGTCTGCAAAATATCTAAGGCACGGATTTTAGGTTTTGCAACAGTGATGTTATTCCCAGGAGCAATTTGGGAAGGTACAGAATCTTGCAGCCAGAGGCTGCATGGCTTCTAAACCGTAATTTTTAATCTTGTAGCTAATGTGTTAGTCCTGCAAAGGCACTCTAGTCTTCAGGCAGGAAGGGGGTTTGTTTTGGGAAAGGGCTGTTACTGTCTTTGATTCAAAGTTAAACTACAAATAAGTTCCTCCCAAAGTTAGTTTGGCCTGTACCCAGTAAGGAACAAGGACACCTTGGAGGTTAGAAGCAAGATGGAGTCAGTTCAGATCTATTTCACATCATAATTTTCTCAGTTATATTTTTTGCAAAGGCAGTTTCACCCTCACTCCAGGTAAGGTATCGTGGGGAAAGTAAGAGAAGGAACGTGGAAAGGGAAGGGGGCTCAGAGAATCAGAAACGAACATGATCTTGCACCCCTGATTTTATGGCTCTAGACTTAGGGATAATCTCTTGATGTTGGAAAGAGATTGTTGGGAACAGCTGTGAGGAAGTCCTGCTCTACAAAGCAGAGAGTGAACTCATGAATCTCGTGACCCCAAGAAGTGGCAGCCCCCAAAATAAAGAAACAGCTGCAAGACAGGTTTAAAGGCGGTAATGCAGAATAGATGCATATATGATTATGACCACCTTTTTCAACATACAGACACATAGGCAGATGTACATACATACATTTTCTCTTCCTCTTCCTCTCCTTTCACACACACGCAAACACATACACAGCAAATGTAGAGGATACTTTCCTTTTTTGTGTGTGTGACAGAGTCTCACTCTGTTGCCCAGGCTGGAGTGCAGTGGCGTGATCTCGGCTCACTGCAACCTCCACCTCCCTGGTTCAAGTGATTCTCCTGCTTCAGTCTCCAGAGTAGCTGGGATTACAGGTGAGCGCCACCACACCTGGCTAATTTTTTTTTTTTTTAATTTTTAGTAGAGAGGGGGTTTCACCATGTTGGTCAGGCTGGTCTCGAACTCCTGACCTCATGATCCACCTGCCTTGGCCTCCCAAAGTGCTGGGATTACAGGCATAAATCACTGCACCTAGCTAGAAGATACTTTCCAATGACTCAGCCTAAGTATCAGAATCTCCCTCCCTCTCTCCCTCCCTTTCCATTTTCCTTTCCTTTCCCTTCCTTCCTTCCTTATTTCCTTTTTTCTTCTTTCTTTCCTTTTTCTTTCTTCTCTCTCTCTTCTTTCTTTCTTTCTTCTCTTTTTCTTTCCTTTCTTCCCTTCCCTTCCCTTTCCTTCACTTCCCCTCCTCTCCCCTCACCTCCCCTTCCCTCCCTTTCCCTCCCCTTCCCTTTCCTCCCCTTCTCTTCCCTTCTCTCACTGCTCCCCCCACCGCCCCGTTGCCCTGGCTGGAGCACAGTAGCCTGATCATAGCTCGCTGTAGACTCAAACTCCTGGGCCTAAGTGATCCTCCCACCACAGCCTCTCAGGTAGCTAGGACTGCATGTGTGTGTGCCACCATGCCTGGCCAAATTTTTAAAATTTTTTGTACAGAGGAATCTTGCTATGTTGCCCAGGCTGGTCTTGGACTCCTGGGCTCACGTGATCCACCTGCTTTGGTCTCCCAATGTGCTGGGATTACAGGGGTAAGCCACTGTGGCCTGGTGTGTGTTCTTACAGTCTGTGGTTCCATGCACAAGTACACAGATGTACATATTTTAAAAGAAAACGGAGATCATATTCTGTTTAGAAACTTTTTCATGTAACAGAGTATGATCTTCATCTCATGTCTTTCACTGTATGGCAGGCCCCATGCTCATCGTGCTGGCCACATTGCTCCTCACTATAGCAGGTTAAGTTCTAATTCCCAAAAGCTATGTCCACCTGAAACCTTAGAATGTGACCTTATTTGGAATAAGGGTCTTTGTGGGTATAACTAAGGTAAAGATCTCAAGATGAGAGCGTCCTGGATGAGGGGGGGTCATAAAGACAGGCATCTTTATGGCCGAGCATGCTGGATCACAACTGTAATCCCAGCACTTTAGGAGGCTGAGGCGGGCAGATCACTTGAAGTCAGGAGTTCAAGACCAGCCTGGCCAACATGGCGAAACCGTCCCTCTACTAAAAATACAAAAATTAGCCAGGTGCGGTGGCAGGTGCCTGTAATCCTAGCTACCGCAAGAGGCTGAGGCAGGAGGATTGCTTGAGCCCGAGAGGCCAAGGTTGCGGTGAGCCAAGATTATGCCATTGCACTCCAACCTGGGTGACAGAGCAATACTCTGCCTCAAAAACAGACCAAAAAAAAGATAGGTGTCTGTAAGAAGAGGAGAGGACGCAGAGGGGACCGCCATGTGGAGATAGAGGCAGAGATTGGAGTGAAGCGTCTGCACGCCAAGGAGCATCCAAGAGTGCCCGCAGTCTCCAGAAGCTCGGAGTGAGGCATGAGACAGGTTTTCCCTTGGCCTCCAGACGGAAGCAGCCCTGCCAGCACCTTCATTCTGCCCTTCTAGCTTCCAGATCCGTGAGAGAACACATTTCCATTGTTCCAAGCCACCCAGCCACAGGAAATGAACACACTCTCACCAACCTCATTCTCACCTCGGGGCCTTTGCACCTGCCATTCCCTCTGCGTGGCGTGTCTTCCCCCCAGACTTTTGCATTGCTTCCTCTGTTTAGTCATTCATGGCTCAGCTCAAGGTCAATGCCTCATAGAAGCCATCCCAGTCACCCCAGCCCCAGTTACTTTTTACCCCCCTTGTCCCATTCCACCCGAGTCGTGACACCCATACCCATCCCAAGGCCCCTTTTGACTCCTGCCTGCCTCGTCACCTCAAAAGGCAGCTTGATGAGGACTGTGGTTGCCTTGTTCTTGTTCTATCTCCACCACCCAGAACAGTGGCACATAGTTGGTGCTTAATACATAAAACTGATGAAATGGGGCTGGGCGCAGTGGCTCACACCTGTAAACCCAGCACTTTGGGAGGCTGAGGTGGGCCGATGACCTGAGGGTCAGGAGTTAGAGACCAGCCTGGGCAAGATGGCGAAACCCCGTCTCTACTGAAAATACAAAAATTAGCCAGGCATGGTGGTGCACGCCTGTAATCCCAGCTACTCAGGAGGCTCAGGTGGGAGAATCACTTGAACCCAGGAGGTGGAGGCTGCAGTGAGCCAAGATCATATCACTGTACTCCAGCCAGGGTGACGGAGCGAGACTCCTCTGTCTCAAAAAACAAAAAACTGATGGAATGCCTGAATCAGTGAATGACTGTGAGTTGTGGAGGTCCAAATACTCCCAACCACCTCATCCCCCGAAAGAATCGGAGATTCACAACCAGGCTTCCCACTGACTCATGCTTCCGAGGCTGGGGGAATCCCTGTTTTCCTCTGAGCTCATCCCTGACAGCTCTTCCTCTTTAAGGTGATCCTTGCTTTCGGCTTTTTACTTCTACATGTTGCTTGGTGATACAGACAAGCAAACTGCTCTGAAAGCACGGAAGTAATTCCAGAGCGTCCACCTTTCTTCGCTGACTGCCATTTACCCAGAGCTGGGAGCCTGTCTCTTATCTGTGTTCATGTCAGGAAGTTGAAGCAAGCCTCATCTTGCCAAAGAATCAAGGAGTGACAGAGTTGGAAATGAAAGCGTAACAGAAACTTGGACTGATCACAGACTCAAACCAGTACATCTCCTTTTCTTCTTTGAATTGGGAACTGAAACCATTCCATAGGAAGCTCACTCTTCCCTCTCCTACGGAAAAATATTCGTCTGGCTTGATTCCCTTTTCATATTATTATTATTTCAGATGACATCTTGCTCTGTCAACCAGGCTGGAGTGCAGGGGCACCATCTTGGCTTACTGCAACCTCCGCCTCCCGGGTTCAAGCAATTCTCCCTCCCCCAGCCTCCCCAGTAGCTGGGACTACAGGCACCCACCACCACGCCCAGCTAGTTTTTCTTGTATTTTTACTAGTAACGGGGTTTCGCCATGTTGGCCAGGCTGATCTCAAACTCCTGACTTCAGGTAACCCACCTGTCTCAGCCCCCACAAAGTGCTGGGATTACAGGTGTGAGCCACTGTGCCCAGCCCTGATTTCCATTTTAATGCACAAATACTAACAGCAGTGTGCACCAAACTCTAATAAAACATAAGTGCTCTTGCAGTCAGATCTGTACTGTCCTTCCAAATTATTTTTAATCCCAGCTCTTTCTTTGTCCAGACACAGGTGTAATTTCTGCTTAGTTGTTTCATGATGTCGCTCAGTGTCTGTGTGTCTTTCTTACTTTGCAGCGTAGAGTAGTTCTCTACCAGGACATAGTTAACAACCCATAAAGGTCTCTGCTTAAGTCAGAAGTCCATTTCTGTGAACCATAACCCAGACAGCAATACCAGACTGTGTCTCCTACCAACATTTATTGAAATGGTAGATTCATGGGAAGTAAAGAAACACAAGCAAATGAACCAGGAGGAATTACCCCCTCCAACCATTGGGCAGCAGCGCATTGCCCTGTTAATGGTAAAAGTAAACAGAGGTGGGAAACAGCTTTCTATCCTGAAGCCCTTTTAACTGCTCAGCCTTCCAATTAGAATAAACAAGAGAGGAATAGATTAGTCGCTGGTTGACAAGCAGCAATGCCATTTCCTTTCCTTTCATAATACTGTTTAGCTCAGTCCCTTCTGAGGCTAATCCCCTGTTACACCCACTGGAAACACAGATATTAACCAAAGCATGTGAGTCTCTTCGCCAAGTCCATTTCTGCTAATGCTTGGCTGAAAGATGAATTGGTCCACGGAAGCCAGGTGACCTTCTATTGGCTTGTTTAATGATGCCTGGGCTCCCTCCAGGAGCAACATAACTCCTTCCAATCTCAGCTCCCCTTATCCCTGCTAGAGCCCACAGGCAGGCTAGATATCCCCCCAGGAGCTGAGAACCCTCCCAGTCTCAGGCAGGTGAGGGAAGAAGGCCAACAAGGCACAAGTGGATCTCTGGCTCTAACTCTGCTCAGCAGAGATGCTGACAATTTGCCCATCTTTGGTCCTGCAAGCACGAGAGATTAACCAAAAATTTCAGATGCCTAGAAGCTTTACTCTCTGTTCCAAGATTCCTGCGGTCACACGTTGTAACCAGCCTCCCACTCGTCTGCCACAGTTTCCCTAAATTGGACTCTCTGAATCTGGAAGTTCCAGGAAACCTTAGGCCGAGTCCAGTGACGCCACTCGATGCAGCAGCCCACCTGTTTCTCCAGAGATCCTGGTTCTTGGTGACAATGTCCCTTCTTAGCATGGTTATTTAACGAGACGCTGGGCCCAGATAAGAGGGGCTCCACGGCTCTCCGGAGTCAGCCATTAAGGCCTCTGGAGCACCTCTGGTTGTGATCGGATCCCCCGTGAGCTCCACACTGGTGCTGCGGTTATTATCTGGTTCACCTGTCGTCGTCCTCCGGAGGCAGCGGTTGATCAAAGTGGAGAAGAAGTTGGGAAAGGATGGGCTGGAGAAGTAGTACACCACGGGGTCCAGCATGCTGTTCATGTAGGTGAAGCTGAGAGTGATGAAGAACGCCAGGTCCACCGAGCGATACGCTTCACAATTCTGTGTGCCCGAAGTGTGCAGGAGCCAGTAGATGTGGATCCGCACAGCCACGCTGGGAAGGAAGCAGATGACAAAGACGATGGCCACCACCATGATGAAGGTGATGGCTCTCTTGATCTTGGCGTGCCGATCCATCTGTCTCTGCCGCAGGCTCCAGATAATTCTGGCTGAGCAGAACAGGATGATGCCCAGGGGCAGAAAGAACTCCAGGAGGAACATGGCTTCGTGCCACCGGAAGTTCTGGCAGATGCTGAAGCTGCTGCACAGATATGCATTGCCGTTCTGGATCAGCATCTTCTTGTACAGGAGGTGGACTGTCAGGCCAATAGTGATCCCCCACAGAAGGCAAGAGATGATGGCTGCTGTCCGATTGGAGATCTTGTTGAGGGCGTGGTGGGGATGGACCACCCGGAAATACCTGTCCACCGCCACCACCGTGAGGAAGATGATGCTGCCCTGGCGGTTCATGGCCAACATAAAGAGCATCAGCCGGCAAGGTATATCCCCAAACTTCCAGTCCCAACGCCTCACATAGTTGTCCATTAGGAACGGCAGGCAGATGATTAGGAGAAAGTCAGCCACCGCCAGGTTGAACAGGAAAATCCGGCTGGATTTCCAGGACTTGAGGTGGAAACAGAAAATCCACAGGGCAAGGCCATTGCCCAGAAGCCCAAAGATAAACTCCAGCCCCAACACCGGTGGCAACACATTGGAAATAAACTTATCTCGGAACACACAGCAGTTCTTCTTGTCTATTTCCAGAAAGTGATCCTGCGGGTACTGCCGATTCATGAGTGCAGCTAGTTGGTCTGATGGGGCGCCTCACTGGGCGAATGCTTCAGCAAGGAGGCGTGTGTCTGAGTGGTGAACGTGTGGTTCCACCGCCTGCCTTTATGTCATGTCAGGGTGTTGAAATAGATGACTGAATGGTTACCAGGAAACTACGAAATCCCTTAAAAAAAAAAAAAAAAAGGCCAGCAAGACTCTTATGCAACCTGCTGTTTGCATAAACAAGTAATAAAAATCCCCTGGGCAGACAGGAACCCACGAAATTTGTTAAATGTAAAGGATAAGTTTAGGCAAGCTGACTGTCATTTGAAAATTACTGAAACATGAAGGACATCCCTTTGGAAGGCTGGGTGCCTGTATGCTAATTGAGTACTCAACATTGCAGAATTAATTCACCGTCATTTGCTTGGCTTACATAATAAAACAACAGCAATAGCAATAATAATTTTCTGTGTCAAACAGTGAGGTTTTCCAGAAACACTAAGAATTAGCATGAAAAATGAACAAGCATATGACATAAACAGGAGCAGATGTATGATTTCTTTGGAAGTGTTGAGAAGACAGTAGTCACCTGTTTGATGACAGACAGGTTGAATTTGACCACTTTTCCTATGCCCCCTCTCTGTACAAACATGGATTGCTTTTCCACACCAGAACGCTGCCATTTTTCTCCCTTTAGGAAAAAGAAAAAAAGCCTGCTTGAAGTATAATATTTCATAAGATGTTTAAAAACTTGAGCCCAGTTTCAGTGGCATGTTAAAATAAGTTGGGTTTTTTGTTTGTTTATGTTAGATTTTGATATGCTTCTGTGCTCAAGTGATTTATTTTTAAGTATGTGATTTTTTTTTTTGCAAAGTTTGTGCTACAAATTTCTTTTTCTGTGTTGTTCTTCACGAAGAGGGGTACCTTAGGATAGAGCACGGGCTTAGTACCCCATATGCTCACTGTTCTAGATGGCCCGGGAAACTGGTCAGTAACAAACTTGGCCGCAGGTCCCTGAAACAAACAAAAAACCTGGGTAAGATCTCTAACTTGTTTTATGTCCTTGGGAGCTTAGGATGTGATTTTTTTTTTTAATGAACTTTATTTTTTAGGGTAGTTTTAGGTTCACAGCAAAATTGAGCAGAAAGTATGGACAGTCCTTATACTCTGTCTCCATACACACAAAATCTCCCCAACTAAGTACGTAATTTTTTTTTTTTTTTTTTTGAGACGAAGTCTCACTGTCGCACTGGCTGGAGTGCAACGGTGCAATCTAAGCTCACTGGAGCCTCTGCCTCCCGGGTTCCAGCGATTCTTCTGCCTCAACCTCCCAAGTAGCTGGGACTAAAGGCATGTGCTACCATGCCTGGCTAATTTTTATATTTTTAGTAGAGATAGAGTTTCACCATGTTGGCCACACTGGTCTCTAACTCCTGACTTCAAGTGATCTGCCTGCCTTGGCCTCCCAAAGTCCTGGGATTACAGGTGTGAGCCATCACGGTTGGCCATAAAATGTAAATTTACTTTTTAAGCTGCAAACCCAGGTTCAATAATAGGAGCTTATAGACTATTCACAGTAAACTAGAGTCAGGATGACCTAATATTAGATTCCTATAGAACTACAAGTACCTGATGATGATCCAGGTGAGATGATGATCACGAAGAAGAAGATGAAGGCGATGACACCTGCATTATAGAGATGTCATGTGTTGGACCCCATGCTCATGCTCAGTGCTTTTACAGTCAGTTGCCTGTTTCACCCTGACTGTAGCCCCTGAGGCAGGTATTATTATTATTGATTCTGATTTCAAAATGAGGAAAGTGAAGCTCAGAGAGGGTGATAAAATATTCAGGGCCACCCAGCTCATAAGAGCATAGCTTGAGGCCAGATGTGGTAGCTCACACCTGTAATCCCGGCACTTTGGGAGGCTGAGGCGGGCAGATCACTTGAGCCCAGGAGTTCAAGACCAGCCTTGGCAATATAGCCAAACCCCACCTCTACAAAAAATACAAAAAATTAGCCAAGCATCCTAGCAGGCACCTGTAGTCCCTTGGGAGGCTGAGGTGGGAGGATCACCTGAGCTTGGGAAGTCGATCCTACTGTGAGCCAAGATCACATCACTGCACTCTACCTGGGTGACAGAGTGAGACCATGTCTCAAAAAAAAAAAAAAAAAAAAAGCAGAGCTTGGATTTGGATCTGGCAGTGACTTCAAAGCCTGTGTCCCTAACCATATGCTATACTGCCTGTTACTATGTTATTGCCTTGTCTGTAAGGTTGAAGATCTTGCTCAGAGTGTGGTTGGGATGGAGGTTGATTTGGGCTTTAGTGAAATGATTGGTATTTGTTTCTTGTCCTTGCTGCCTGTGATACTATGCTTCCTTCCTGGAATGAACGTGGACACCATTCAATAACATTCATAAAGTAATCCTAAGGGCCATTATTAACTAAGAGTCAGAAAAATCAGTAGTAGTTATTTCTAGAAACTGAAATTTGCAAGGGACTCTCCCTTTCTATGTTTCCCAATTTCATAATATTTTGAGTTTTTTCTTTAAACAACAGTC